GATGTATTAATGTGTTGATCGACCTGCATGCACAAAGTAAATAACACTATCATGATCTTGTCAACTCTTTCTCCTATAAAATGCTGTACATCGACATTATATACTACTTGTTTGCTTTGACAAATGTGTTATGGAGGAAGAAGATACCATAAGACTGGGGTTACACCCTGTGTGCCACGTGTTGTTTAGGCTAAAACATTTGGTTAAGTGTAGTTATTTTGTTGGTGGTTTTGTTAATTTGTTTTTAAATGAAGGGATTTAAATAAATACTGATTTACAATATTGAAAACCCATTTCCTGTTGTAGGATATGGTTCGTATTACCATTGCTAACTCTGAGAGACGAGGCAGTCCAAGTAACTTCAAAACAGTGCTGATTTATTCAAAGGAACACAGGTAAAATTAACATTACACGCTCAGGTATCTTGCACCTCCATCCTGCACGCAGGCAGATGTAAGATGAAAGACCCTGAGCCCACCAGGCCTATACATTATATCCCCTCGGTTGGGCTAGCCCCATACTACACAGAAACGTCAACCGGGACGTCTCTGTTACCAGCTTTACAGCTGGCCATAGCAGTAGTCAAAACATGAAGCAAATCAATGTGTCTGTGTGTGCGTGTCTGTTGATTAAGTGGTGTGTAGCTAAAAACATTCTCACGACCTCTAGTAACATGTCGTGACTTAAACATAAGAACATATTATGGCTAAGGCTACAGTTATACACGTCGTAATAATAATATTAAACGCCCTGTCTGCTGACAGTCATCAACTCTTCTCTCTAGTATCCTTGACCAGATGTACCCTGTAGAAACTCATAAGCATGACTAAGCATTTAACAGTCTAACTAGACATCCTATCTACACTAAACATTTCTAATACATAAAGTATCTATCCAATATCTATCTGACTAAAAATACCTAACACTGTCCCTTAATGGAATACATAAGACACTGGGGAGTAAGCTGTTTTGCTTTCTGAGAATGAAATGAGACAATTTATAGTATTCTTGTGCAGTCTTTCACTTTTTATTAAAAATTCTAAATTATGTGTGCGGGTGGGGAAGAAAAATCTGATATGTAGTCACCTGTTTAAATTCATAAGTCATGTTAAACATCACAAACTGTGGCTTCTACTTAAGCGGGGAGTGTCCCTCAGTAAACTAGTCTGTTATGGTAGCTGTAGTTCTTAGTAGCTTGCCAGAGAACCAACATGAAAAGACCACCATGTAAATGTATGTGAATGACCCCATGCACGCTTGCCTATGTTTAGTCATGAGAGGTATAATATTAAAAAGTACTGATGATAGCTGTTCATCTGTCCATCTTCATCCGCTTCATCCGGGACCGGGTCGCGGGGGCAGTAGCCTGAGCAGAGCCTCCCAGACTTCCCTCTCTCAACACACCACCTCTAGCTCCTCAGGAGGAAGCCCAAGGCATTCCCAGGCCAGCCAGGAGACATAGTCTCTCCAAATAGGCCTTCTCCTAGAGCAGGGGTGTCCAAAATTTTTTTGGTGAGGGCCAAATACAGAAAAATAAGCAAAGGCCCGGGCCACACACAAGAGGTGACATATTGACACATGATTACTGTGTGTATTTCTAACTCACCTATAATGTGAAGAACATTGCTCTCAGTGGGAGCAGTGATGCTGTCCTTTGGATTGAAGGATGGCTGGGATGTCAGGAGAAAGTTTGGTGGTTGAGACACGAAGGACTTCACAGAGATGGCTATCAGTCATTCTGGATCTCAGTCTGCTTTTGTTCTGATTTAACAGAGAAAATGTTTGTTCACATATGTATGTTGAGCCGAACAGGCTCATCATTCTTTTTGCGTGGCGTCTCATCAGAGGAAACTTGGCATGATCCAAACTCTGATAGAAGTCAGGGAGGGAGAGAAGCTGATGTTGACTCTTCAGAGAATCATCACATTGCATTTCAATCAGTTCTAACTGCAGACTCTCCTCCACTTCTTCTGCATCCACCAGGAAGGGGGTCGAGAACAGCTTGATTTGTTTTTCAATGACAGAAAAATCTTGAAAACGCTGGTTGAATTCTGTCACGAGAGATGTAATTACAGAAGCATATTTCTCCTTTTTAGCAGAAAGGTCTGCCTTTGGAAAAGCAGACTTGATTTCAGACAGCGCAGGGAAGTGTGCAGCATTAAAGCTTCGTAGTTGTGTCTCAAACAGGCTCTTTCATCACGGCAACATCTTCATTGCAAATCAAACAGACACACTTTCCGTTGATTTCTTTAAAGAAATATTCATTTTCCCACCGTGTTTGAAATCTTCTACACTCACTTGCTATCTTGCGTTTCTTCGGTGCTGCCATTTCTGGTGACTCGTGGTAAATATTTTTCTTTGCTTAATTTTGTTTAGTGGAGAAGCACCTTTTCTGTGACTGGCTCCATCTAGTGTTGAAACTGAGAAGTGCAACAGAGTTGAGCTCAAGCGCCATGTGCGGGCCATATTCAATTATATTTTCAGAATTTGCTGCGGGCCAATAAAAACTGACCCGCGGGCCGCAGTTGGCCTGCGGGCCGTAGTTTGGACACCCCTGTCCTAGAGGGACATGCCCAGAATCCCTCCCCAGGGAGGCATCCAGGGAGCATCCTAAACAGGTGCCTGAGCTACCTCAACTGGTTCCGCTCAATGTGGAGCAGCAGCGGCTCTACTCTGAGCTCCTCACGGGTGACTGAGCTCCACACCCTATCCCCAGCCACTCTCCGGAGGAAACTTATTTCTGCTGCTTGTATCCGCGATCTCATTCTTTCGGTCATGATCCAAAGTTCATGGCCATAGGTGAGGGTAGGAATGTAGATCAAATGGTAAATTCTTCACCACAATGGACTGGTACAGAGACCACATTACTGCAGACGCTGCACCGATCCATCTGCCCCTCCCTGGAACCAACACCTTAATGTGGTGGAGGGGTTTGAGTGCCTGAATGATCCCGGGAGCTATGTTGTTGGGGGCTATATGTCCCTGGTAGGGTCTTTTGTGCCAAAACATGTCCTGGGTGACAGACCAGACAGAGGGTGATTCCTAGACCACTTATGACACATAAAAAAATCCAGGACTTACATTTTCCCCACCCAGTATGGGGTCACTGGGGCCCCACCCTGGAGCCAGGCCTGGGGGAGGGGCTCGCATGCGAGTGCCTAGTGGCCAGGCCTGGTTGGGCTCAGCCTGAAACCACAACGTGGAGCCACTCTTCGGTGGGCCCACCACCTGCTGGAGAGGCCGTAGGGGCCGGTGCATTGTGTTTTGGGCAGTGGTTGGGCCAAATACCCGGCTGAATCAAACCTTGGACATCAACTCTGGTTCTTGAGATGATAGCTGTTGTTCATGCAACATGTAATTTGCATATCTCACTCTTTAGTATAAATTAAAAGAGAACTAGAATTACTTGATCGTGGTTATAGGCTTCCTGTCAAGTTTGCCCAGCGGCACCTGCCTCTCTTCCTTTCCTCACACTAGTCTGCTCCCTTGCACTGATTGCACTATTCGACACACCTGCCCCGCTTCCCTGATCACTCACCAGCCAGGCCCCATATGTGTTATCGCTTTGTTTTTGTGCCAAGTACGCCCGCTATATTTTTCTGTGTTTTTCTTGAGTCTCTATACCTGCCCTGCCATATCTGTTTTTCCTCCTGTCCGGACCGCTCCTCTGGACCCTGGATTCACTCAGCTCTACCAGCCACCGCCTCACAGGTTGTTGCACAGTCTCCTTTCACCTGTTTGTTTTTTCCATACTCCTATTTTCTCAGTCATCATCGCCTCCACCTCGACCAGCCCAGGAGTGAACCCAACGTCCGCAGCCCGGCCCATTATCATCCACCATACCATTGACCGTGTTTCTTCTGCCGCTGATCGACACCCGGTCATCTCTCTCAACATCCCTTCTGTATTTATTTCCTTGTACAGCACTGTAAATAAACCTCACTGTTTGCACCGAAGCCAGCTACCTGGGCCTGTCTTTTCCGCTCACTCTGTGTTTGAGCATTCCTAACAGAAAGAACTGGCCAACATGGACCCTGCTGGCTTCGGTGCAAGTAGTGCCTCTGCTCCGGCACACATTACCGCACAAATAGACAGAATGGCTCAGGCACTGCAGCAGCAACAAAAGGGCATATCCTCTCTGACCCAGCAAGTAGCACAGCTCACCTCACTGCTTTTGTCTCACCACGGTCACGCTGCCACCCCAGATCCACACTCAGCTCCCCGTTCTGCCAGCCCCTGCCGTGATCCGCCTATCCCAGAACTGGATGTCTTCAATAGCAGCGTGGACAAGTGCCGGGGTTTTCTGCTGCAGTGCCGCCGGGTGTTCGATCAGCAACCACAGACATTTAGCACTGACAAAGAGAAAATAAGCTACATCACCAACCGGCTACGAGGGAAAGCGTTTACCTGGGCCGGGGCTGCGGACACCAGTGGCATGCTCATCAGCACCACCATCACCGAGTTCCTAGAAGAAATACAGACTGTTTTTTCACCTTCATCTCATCAGGGCCAAGCTGCCAGGGAGCTCATGACTATCCGCCAGGGGGCTCGCCAGGTCCTGGATTACTCCATTGACTTCTGGGTCCTTGCAACGGAGGCCGGCTGGGAGGACCGCACGTAACGCACGGCCTTCTGGCACGGCCTCAATGATAACATCAAGGCGGAACTGAACACTCATGACGAGCCCCCTTCTCTCCGCTCCCTGGTAGACCTGGCCATCTGCATAGACAAACAGCAATGCTCTTTCCGCCAAGAAAGAGCAGGGCAGCAGTCGGCCCCCCGGACCCGCACCACGGCCGCTCTACCTGCTTAAGCCCGGGTTCCTCTCCGCATGGGGGACTCCCACACCTGCACTTCCCGAAGAACGGATGGAACCATGGACTTGGGATGTGCCCGTCTAACCCCCGAGGAACGGGCCCGCCGCATCCACACCAGGTCGTGCCTGTACTGTGGGGCCCCTGAACATCTTATCGCAACCCACCAGGCCGGGTACCAGCTGCCTCCTCCCTGTGCTCCTGGAGATAGCTGGTCAGGCATCCTCCCACTGTGCTCTCCTTGTCTCCTTGACTCTGGAGCCGGGGGTAACCTCATGGACCTTGGCCTATCAATTAAGGTAACTACTTTTCAGCCCCAGCTCTCTATTTATGCTGCATTTATTCTTGTTGTTTAAACCATAATTACAAACAGCTGTGAAGGGAAACCCCTTTGTGCCAGCCTCTTGGTTTGTATGCTGGAGATATCAGTATAACATGTCAGCAAACTGTTGGTTGAATGGCTGCAAATGAACCAGCACTGGCAGCTGCATCAAGGTAAAATCTACTTTTAAACACTGAAACACCATTTGGTAGGTGTTTGTTTGTATCAGGTTTCACTTGGTAATGAAGAGCTACAGATACATTGTTCAACAAAAGAAGCGAAATTATCTGGTTTGACTACAGTGTTGGCATTTGGCCTAACCACCTGTTGTTCCTATTCTACCAACACTGCATGATTGCAGCATTAAAGCTCTAATCCAACCAAATATAATAGCTGTTTTAACTTAAATTTTCATGATTGGATGTTTCTAAGGACTATGTGGGCATGTACAAACTGCAGTGATATCTCCCCCACCATGCTGTTTTTTGCACCTTGTAGCTTTTTGAGACAAGAGAGTTTGGTGACATAATGTAATTCAAATAAACATAAAAGCCGATCATGCTTTAGTTGCCAGGAATGGATACAAAAAAATCACTGAAATACACTGATAGTGAATGTTTTGCAGATGCAGATGCAGGTCATGTTGCTAAAAATATATTGGTGCAGCTTTATAGTTCTTACTAAATGTTGCTACTTACATGAACAGCCCTTTGGGCCAGCATGCGACAGCCTTTTTTTGTTTTTGTTTGTTTTTAGTGTTAGGAGCCGCAGGTTGACAGACAGATTGGTGCGTGCCCGCAGTAATGCGGTCTCTGTACCGGCCCGTTGTGCTGAAGAAGGAGCTGAGTCGTAAGACGAAGCTCTCAATTTACTGGTCGATCTATGTTCCTACCCTCACTTATGGCCATGACCAAAAGAATGAGATCGCGGATACAAGCAGCAGAAATGAGTTTCCTCTGGAGAGTGGCTGGGGATAGGGTGAGGAGCTCAGTCACCCGTGAGGAGCTCAGAGTAGAGCCGAACCATTTAGCGGAACCAGCTGAGGTTGCTCAAGCACCTGTTTAGGATGCCCCCCGGATGCCTCCCTGGGGAGGTATTCTGGGCATGTCCCTCTAGGAGAAGGCCTCAGGGCAGACCCAGGAGATGTTGGAGAGTCTATGTGTCCCGGCTGGCCGGGGAATGCCTTGGGCTTCCTCCTGAGGAGCTAGAGGAGGTGTGTGGGGAGAGGGAAGTCCGGGAGGCTCTGCTCAGGCTATGGCCCCTGCAACCCGGTCCCGGATGAAGTGGATGAAGATGGATGGATGGATGGATGGGTTAATCATCAACACCACTGATGGGAAATAATGAAATACTGTATTGTTGAACAGATTTCAGAGATAGATTATTTTCAATTTTCATTTAACTTTGTGAAAGTCTACTGTAGCTGTTGAATCACAATCCATAAAATATCCATATTATCAATGTGCTTTTCTTGCTAAACCAATGCATGCAGTATATTTGGAATCTGGTCAATAAAAACCACAGCCTTACCGTTGCACTTTGGTACAGTTTTGTGCAAAATAATTAATTGCATCCTGACACCATTTGACATTATGTCAGAGAAACAATATTACAGTATAACAATGGCATGCTTACATACAATGACAGCACAGACTTGTGGCTTGTGACTGTAACACATACTATGTGCTACTGCTTGTTGAAAGTTCTGTTTAAGCCTCTCATGCAGGAGCAGCTGTCTGATTCCAGTTCACGCATCCTAACCCAACGGAACAGTAAGACAGCATTACTATTTCTTTTACTTTTTTCATCTCTCAAAACCCTCACAGACATGCTAACTTTTACTCACTTTTCACACATAACAGATTGAGAAAGCTTGGCCAGCAATGACTGTTATTCCTTGTGAATGTGACCCGACTTTGCAGCCTGCACACCCTCCTCACCACCATCATCTTGACTCCAGTGAAAGCTGAGGTATGTTTACTACTCCGTTCTCTACTGAAAAGGGTTTTTTTTTTTTTTTGAGGAAAGCTGAACATTGCAGCCTGCAGCTTTCCAATTCTCTGGGACAAGTCATTAACAAGTTAGTTAGTGGGACACTATACTGTAAATCAGACAACTGTCCAGTTGTACTACAGTATGTAAATTACATACTCAACACAACCCTAGAACCAGATTGATGAGAGGCCAGATACTGCCAACTACTTTGTATCTGTATGTGTGAATGCATCATTACTCATACTATCTCTTCCACTTGTGCAATTTATCTCTCACTCACAAACACACTCTACTTTCCCTAATTCATTCCCAGTGTCTCTTGTTTGCTTGCACATGCACTAGCAAACATGCACACCTGATTGTTATCCAACTGTGCCATCAATTAGTAGGCCTGGGTTATGAAACCCTGGCCAGCTTGTCACCAAACATTGTATGTGTATCGCTGCTCAAAGTGGACACTGATCCTGCACACTTTTTTTTTTTTTTTTTTGGTTGCTTTGGCTTGAATGAAGGTTGCATCAGTTTACATCAGCAGCAGGCACTGTGGCAACCCCAACACCCCCACCCCCAACTCCCCCAGCTGTGTGGGCAGTGCAAACACAAAGAGAGCTGGAGGGCAACGCACAGATCACTTCACCTCAAATTTGCTGTCTTTCCACTTCCGGGCTCTAAATAGTGGAGATGATTTGGTTGCTAATGGCCTTCTAACCTCATATGAACCTATGTCAGGTCTACATGCTGAGATAAGGCCCAAAACTGTCATTAATGTTTGTGGGAAGTCGAGAGACTGTGTGATGGTCTGCTCTGATACCAGGGTTGTAATCATAAGCTAATAACACAAAACTATTATATCAGTCAAACTTTAACATAGCATATATTTCAAAAGGAGGTTAACTAAAAAACCAATGGATCAGTGCTTTACAGATTAAAGACAATAAGAGAAAAATCCATTTTAATATTTAAAAATCATTCAAATTAATACAGTTAATAAAAATGAATAAATAAATAACAGGAGAAATATTGGATACAAAACAGATACTAAATAAATGATAGTAAAAAGTTTTAAGTCAGAAGTCAAACCAAAAAGGTGTGTCCTAAATTTACTACTCTAAGATCTCCTGGCACACTGTTCCAATGGCTCAGAGCAACAAGTGAAAGTTGTCTCACCAAAGGTTTCTGTCCTGCATTTTAGAACCACTAGTAGACTCATGCCACAAGAGCCCAGACTGGTTCACATATCAGAAGCATATCAGACAAGTATGCTGGTTCAAGAGCATAAAGTGCTTTAAAAAATTAAAAATCAATACAAGAACCAAGAAGCGATCAGTGTAACAGCTTTAAAACAGGTGTAATGTATTCTCTCCTTCAGGTCCTGTTCAACACTTGGGCAGCTGAGTTCTGAACCAACTGTAGCTTATGTATAACTTTTTTGGGAAGATCAGAGAAGGCAGCATTACAGTAGTCCAGTCTCCTGGATATTGTAAAAGCAGCCCACAGTAACTAGCCCATTATTAATACTATCAATATTGCATCCGTTTCACAGAATTCTTTTTAGATACAGTACAGAGATTAGGCAATGTATGATTTTTAACACATAACAAAGGGTATAGCTTTATTTTCAGAAATGTATGAGGCCTGCATATTAAAGGCTACAGTAAAGCAATTTACCAAATTTTAGTAATTAACGGTAATATAAAACTATGTAGAGTATTCAGTATTTCTGTATTATTAATGCATTATTACCTAAATCGTTTTTAGTTTTCATTATGTTATATCCTTTGATAATGTTGACTCACATCTTTCTAATAAAGATGTATTTTTAAAAGATTAGTCAAAAAAGTAACCCAAAACAAAATTGACACCACCTTTAATTTAGCTCAAAGTAGTTTCATCAGGTATTCCTGTCAAGTGAAGTACAGTCCCAGTAATCTTCATTAATAAAGAAGGCCAGCCATTGTGCTGCTAGAGATGTGAAACCCATGGCAAAAAAGTCTGCATAGCACTCACTGCTGCTTATTAAGCATATTGCTTTGAGCCCACAGTAATAACTACAAGTGAGTCAAGATGAGTGTCAACATTTGTACCATTAAGGTCTTCTCTCGTCTAGTCTATACAGTAGTGGCTGTGCAGTCAGAGAACAATGTTCACAAAGAATTTAGAGAGAAAATCAACCTGAAATGTTAACAGTGATGGGCACATTGCACATGGCAACATGATCGAATGTAAAACAGGCCAAAAACTGAGCTGTCAAAAACCAGATCAAGTGAGAGTTGAAATGCGTGTTGTAAAAAGGGTAAACACAGAGCCTGTTTTCCAAACTGGCTTGAAAATCATTAGAAGAATAAATTAATAAATAAATAACAACTTATAATATGTAATTTGAATATTAAAAGCAATGATGTATGTATATTGATAATATATTCAAAGACGGGCATTGAAAAATTAAGTGCAGCACAGGTGTGTAATTGCAAAGTTTGTATGATTCCTTACACTGAACAGCTATTGCCAATGATAACAAAATGAGCAACATAACATATAAAAGAACATACAGCTGTGATTTAAATTCTCTTTCTTTGACCAAAACAAGCTTTCTGAATATGTCATCTTAGACCTCAAACTGTGAGGGTCACTGCTCATTTTTTGGCTGAAATACTGTATATACAGAAAAGAATTAATAATTTGATTGAGGAAATAATTTTCAGATTGATCAATAATGAAACTAAATGTTAGTGCAGCATTTATATACATTCATTGAACCAGAAGTAATTTAAAAAAATGCCAGCACTGGCTTTAGGTGCAGTATATCTACAGTACAACATAACTTAAGCTGGTCTATCTCTTGTCTGTGTAACAAACCCACTTTTATTGACTCACTTCTTTTGAGCTCCCTTAGCCTAGTTAGTACCGTACTAAGGATGGGCAGAGTGACTAATAGCATCAGTAGGATCAATTCCAAAAGCTCTACAGCTAACTGAGCTTAGTTACCAGTTAATGCTCTAAAACAAGGCACTGTCTGGAAGTTTCCACTGGAACATTTCATCTTCCATGTTGGCACCTCCGTATCCCATTAACACAGAGCCACCGTCAACCCACCTGCTACTTGTAATATGCAAGACTTTAAATAAATGCACCTGTTGCTGAAGCTAAGACAGCTGTAGGAACTTCTTTCATGGGAATGGAAACAGACATTAGTCACCTGTCAAATGAAAGTCACAGGTTAGTTATGGCCCTAAAACTGACCTCCACACATTAGGTCAGCTTGAAACTTACAAGTAGTGTTCAAATTGAAGAAGGCAGCCATTCTGAAGTGTCTGTTGTCTATGAGCCATGTGATTTTTAAGACTAAAGAATAAAAAATAAAATAAAATAAATCACTATTGCGGCGTCTTCCAGAGAGTGGAGGCCCTCTTTTGATTTAGCTTAAAAGTAACTCCACATCTTCTAAGATATATTCACACCACAGTTATCTGTTAATCCAAATCTACTTGAATTAACACTATGCAAGTTTGAATAGTGCTTGATCCTCTCAGATTTTTAAAACAGAGGCTTTGTATATGTATTTCCTAGAGTGGAGACAGAAATATGGAGAGTCAGGCCAGATTCACACAGATGTTCATGCTGCATGAAAAAACACATCCGCTCTCATTCTTCTGAATTGAGAAAGTGTGCTGGCAGCAGGGAACAGCAGCACAGGGGACCCTGAAAAAATGAAGTAGTGTTGTGCAGAAAAAAGTTGGATCTGATTCAACTTTTTCTGCAGTACATTGTGATGTCTGGGAAGGTGCTGTGTTGGTAAAACACGTGCCAAATGTCAACATGCGAGTTGTCAGTGTGACGATTTGTTGTGGCGACCCCTAAACAGGAAAAGCTGAAAGTGACTTTCTTTCAAAGAAAAAGATGGAGGAAAAGAAAAAGTGATTCAGAAGCAGGCCAGGAGGCAGCTGATGGAGAGAAGCATCAGCTGCAAACTCTGAGACAGTCAAATTTTACTGATATTTGAATCTAAATCCAGCTGAGTTCCAATTGAGCTGTACAATAACTGACAAAGTAGGAGTGTGGAGCAAGGATCTCCTGAGCTATAACAAGTGATAACAGGCCAGTAAATGGTGTGATAACATCCGACTCAGGCGGAAAGCCAAATGCAGTATGTGTGAGTTGTATGCTGTAGATCCTCCTTAGAAATAATAAATTAAAATAAAAATTAAAAACAAAATTTGAATCACGGCAATTAGCCAATACTACTACAAACTAATAATAATAAAAATTTAAATATCCAAAAGGGAATCAGATATAAATGTGTAGACAGAGGAGACAAAGCCAAAAATATATTTCTAACAAAATCAAGAGTGGCTTGTGGGGAACTACAAGAAAAAAAAAAGTTTATTTTCATTTTCAATCTCCACCAAATTTTCATCATAATTATGTCAATATCTATCCCAATGCAAACACTTCCAATCTGGACAGAAAATAATATGGTGAAAGGACATTAAAAAGGAGTCCCCCATCCACAGACACACAAACGCACACACACCAATCACCTTCCAACTTGCCCCCACCCTCCACTCAATAAAACTTTTGGCAGGCCTGAGCTGTTGTAATTGGCAGCCAGCTTGCTGTGCCGATAGACTCCCCTCCGTCCTGCAGGTCAAGAGTAATTTACTGAACTGCTAAACGCCACTAGTTTCTCTCCCTTTCTCTCTTTCTACCCAGTCCAACCCCCTCCTCTTAGAATTTTTTTTCACTCCAGCTTGCATATTGGAATTCCCATCCAGGCTGTATTACAAGCTTAGATGATGGCTTAATCCCCTGTTAATTAGGGACAACATCTCTAGCAGCTGAGGCTAAAGCGGAGAGCAGAGGAGGCTCCAGAGACACGAGGGCTCTGGCTGAGCTTATGGGGCCAGTCAGGAGAGCCTGGCTTGGGCTCAAAGAGCTGCTGAGGAGGGGGGTATAACGGAGGGGTGGGCGGTGGGCTG